AAGAGCGCGCCTGGAAACGAATGTTGCTCTTGCCAACCAAAATGGCGGACAAAACAAGATGATGAGGTCTTAGTYTCGTCTTAGTCGATAAATATGACCCAGCCTTGAGCTGCAATAAGTACCTTAACATGGAAAATACAATCGACGAGAGGCAGGAGAGTTTTGTCGCCAGCTTGGACCAATTTTTCACCAGTATTGAGCCTGTCATAAAGGAAGCAAGTTCGATAGAAGCAGCTGAAGATATCTTAACGAATCTGGAAACAACGGACGAAAACTTTCACAGGTTTGTTGTTTTGTAAGAAATGGAGCAAAACTTCATAAAAAAAGATAACATATACATGGTTTGCTGAAGAAAATATTCATTTAGGAATACTAGGATGGGGGAACTTTGTCCTTAAAGTATTTGAATTTTGTTGTTGTGAACTGTGACATTTCAAGCGTTGCATCGTAGCTCATAAAAACATGTTGAGTATACTTTTTCATTTTCTTCAAGGTATGATTTTGTTCGGACTCTACGCAGCCGAATCGACGAAGTACTTGGACCGCTGATTGACATGAAGCTCGAGAGCTTGTCAGGGGAAAGTGACAGTAACTCACTGTTATCACAAATAGCTGACGAGATACAATCATCTCAAGAGTATGTATTTATTATTGGGCTATCGCATTAATTTTTCGTACCCCTCCGTTGAGGACCTTGCAATTCTTCAGGGTTCGGGGATGCTTTTGTGCTGGAATTCTTCGGGAGCCAGGGTCGTTTTTGTGTCCTTTTGTGTGTGTGTGTGGTGCTGGGTTGAGGACCCCAATTTGACATGTGCTCTTCAGGGGTAAGTCATGAACAGCAGGGAATTTCACAGGGATCTTCATGTCTCCAGGAATTTTTTAGGGAGTTCTCAAAAACGTAGGTCCTCGCGCAAGGGGGTGGGGGGGGGGGAGGGGTACAAAAAAATAAATGAAATAGTCCATTATCTGTTTAATATTGCACTTTCAGGCAAATGGTAAAAAAAAACAGTTCCCTGCTAGAGGAACCTATTTTCCTTTGGTTTTAATAGAGGGGGAAAATAGAATGAGCCAATGTAGGACATTGTATTTGTCACACATGCGTGGGGTAACTTAGCAACGCTGTCAAGATCTCATCCACATGATTTTGACAGCCAATACGCGATTTTGACAGCTGCTACATGTATATCAAATTACTTTTGCTTATACATGTATTATGTTTATCTGGTATTATTATTTTATTTATTATTTATTTAAAAACTGGCTTTGTTTGTCCATGATTGTGGACAGTGGTAGCAAAAGAAACACTTCTTCATCGGCAGAATGTCAACCCTCCCTGCCTAAAGAAGGGAGAGAAAGAGAAAATATGCTTTGCCCCCTCCCTCCCCTCTCCCCCTTTCATTAGGATGTGTTAAACAGATTGCGGGTAGTATCATGGTATACAGGAATTGTCAGGGGGATTCAAATTCTGATATGCAAATTCATTCGGCTAGTAGTCGTGTCCTACGGGAGCATATGTTATGTTATAATAAATATTTTTGGGCATACAATAATGAAGCATCRTTTTAAATATGACAAAAATTGGAAAGGATTCAAGGGAATATAGCTATACACCATATTCTAATTTCATTTGAAAGTGCTGTGCTTTGTTTTGAGCTGCAATGTGTACAGTTTTTATATTAAAACAATAAATTGGGATTTTGAATATCCATACTTTGTCATTTCATAGCTTCATAAGTTTACAGCAGTCTGTACTAGGAGATACTAAAGAGGCTGTGAATTTCCTGGTAAGATTGATTGATCTGCAGTTATATCATTGAATGGTATTTTGATTCATTGACTAGGGATATTATATTGGGACAGACAGGAATTGGCTAAAATGTTTATGTAAACATTTAGCATGAATTTAAATTCCATCTCATAAATTATTGATTTGTTCTTATTTGACCAATGACAATGATGATTCAGGGAATGCATTATTACATAAATAATGCATATTGTATATTATAAGATAGGGATAAAAAATGTATTTTTATGATATTTCAATGTTTCCCAGGGGTGGTTTGACTTGTCTCAACAAGTGTTTCCTAAATTTTATAGGCACCAGCAATGCTTGGGACCCAATTTAAGGACTGTTAATTTTTTACCATGGAGGGTTGGCAGTGTTTTTTTTAAATTAGGTTTTTTAAAAACAAATCATGTTCAAGAGATGGAAACATTAAAAAAATTCTGATTTGCACAGCACATTTACACTAAACAAAATGGAAAAAAAGGGAGGAGTCATTTATTTTGCAAATGGAAAGGTGTCATATTTCCAGTATGGAGTTAAAGCAAGAGGATCCCACGGCCCCCCCTTATTAGTCCCTTAGATAGTTGGTGTGAGTTAACACAATCCCTGTGATTATCAAAATATGCTACATGTATTTTAGTTTTTAAGTTATTTTCTTTAGATACAAAAGTATTCCAATCCACTGCAAAGAGGAGCTAGTGACTTTGATTTCAGTGAATACAAAGCAAGGCAACAAAACCCTAAGAATTCCTATGACCTTAGTGATGAGGAATCATCATTATCTTCATCTATTGATCAAGTAAGCTTTGCTGTGCATTTTGCACCATGATAATGTACTTGCCGGATTTTAAAAAGAAAATTATAGTGAGTGCAGATAAGTGAAACTTGTCCTCTTTTCCCCAGGTTGGCTACATGTTTATGTCTCAAGAAAAGTCTGGTAAAATTGCAGAGAACCTTCATCCATTACAGCCTGTTCATGTAAGTAATGCACATTAAAGTACCTGCTTAGGTTCACTTCGCCTCCTCCACAGTTTGTAAACCCTCTTGGGTTTCTTTTCTTTCAAGATGGGTTTCCTGTGGTTAAAAGGAGGAAATCTAGGTGCTAGTCCCAATTGGTTAATGCTCAGCCAATGAACAAAGCCCAGTATATGTATTTAAAATAGAGGTGCTGCGCTGAGAAGGCTAAGGTCCACTTACCAATACCAGGATCGATTCCTGTACACTCCCTTTTACGAATTTGCAATAGTCTTAGTATTAGAAAAAATAGCTTGATGACCCATAATTTTATGTCTTGCCTATTCCTTGTTGAAAAGCATTTTATGTGCAACTGACTGGACTGTTTTTAATTGAATTTGCATGCATTTCCAGGTCAGAAGTGAAGCCCTTAGTGCTCTAGCTCAAGTACCCCAATCTGATGTCATAACAAGTGAACACTGGGTGGCCATTAGGAAAGGACTGTTAGCAGCCTTGGCTGATGAAGATGAACACCTTTCAGTAAGTGCAGTGACCGCCAGATTCCGGAAATTATTAATTTATTCCAGCAATATATATTCTGAAGCTTTTCACACGTAGCAGAAAAAGTAGAGTACACTCTAAGTAATAGATCTCTTTACCTTGGGTGTAATGTTTTACCATTTCAGACCACGTGTCATTCCCTAGAGTATCATTTCTTTGTTTAACAGTGGGAAATGTGAATGCCTAAATATGTTTTGCCATTTCAGACAACATGTCATTCCCTAGAGTATCATTTCTTTGTTTACATTGGGAAATGAGGATGCCTAAATAGGTTTTGCCATTTCAGACAACATGCCATTCCCTAGAGTATCATTTCTTTGTTTAACTGTTGTGCATGTAAAGACATGAATATGGATACAACTAAAACCAAAGAATCATATTCTCAAAATATGAAACATGGTCTGAAATGGGAAGACGTTATGCCCTTGATTAAAAAGAGCTCTGCTCAGTGTGTAGTAAGAAACCTGAGTGCATATAATTTTTGCTGTGAGCCATGAGGTGACATTTACTAAGTAATTATACAGCTTCTCATTAATCCCATATAGGTAGCTGTCCAATTATTTTCTTAGTTGGACAGGTCTTGTTGATATGGCATTAATTAGGCAGCTATATAATTAATAGGTAATGGGATTTCATGCTTACCAATCAAGAAATAATTAGACTTGAAAAACTTCTCTGACTGCCAAATAGGACTCAGCCTACGGCCTCATCCAATTTTGAAAGTCCTCAGAATTTTTCTCCTCCAATTATTTCCTAATTGGACAGCATGGAGTCCTATTACATATACTAATTCTGATAATATTATTCAGGGGCAGATACAGGGGGTGGGTTTGGTGGATTTCCACCCCCCTCTTTTAAAGAGGTCATCATAACAAATTCGAATTTCTACTCTGATGGAGAATAAAAAAAGCTTGAAATATTTTTTGATTGGATTATCCTGTATAAGCCCCTGTTATTATAAGCTAATAAAACATTTTCCTTAAAGGAAAAAAGCCTCAAGTTTCATGCCCGGTTGTTTCTGTCTTCAACCTCTCATGCAACAAGAGAAATCTATACCTGTCTAGGTTAGTGTTTGTGTATTATATCCATGTGGAATGCCATAAGCTTTATCATTCCCAATTTGGATTGTTCATTTAATAGACCAGTTTTGAGTTCCAAATTAGCTCAGTGTTCCTTGATTACAAACTCATTTACACAGGTTAGCCTTGTATCAGTGCTAATATAATGCACAACTTCAACCACACAAACACTTTGAAACTTGACTGGAACATGTGAATATTCTGCACAAAATTGAGGCTAACCCTGTGTAAATGAGTCGGTAACCAAGAAACACAGTGGTAATTTGGAACTCAAATGGTATATTATCTTCATGCCCCCAGCTTGATCACATACAGTAACTGTAAACAGTGCAACCCCCAAACTGGTATTGGTAGTGCATTGGTAAATTATCATTAGGTACACTAGATGATCAACCAACTAATCACTGTTAAATGCTTATTCCTTCATACATTGTGTCATATATTGGTATTTGTTTCAGCTGAACATCTTTGGCTGCACTTCAGTAGTAAGACAGACAGTATGGGTAGACTAGAAGATGGACTTGATGTACTGACCAAGAGCAATGCTAGACTTATTAGAAGAGTAAGTATGACCTAAAAATCTTGCTTGGGGTTGTACATGACGTAAAGACTGAAGAAAACTATTTATTGAATACCAATTGTTACCCAAGTACTTTTTTCTGTTTAGTTTCGCTTGTTGAATGAATTCCAACATGAAGTTCCCTCTTACTGGATAAGATACTCAGAAAGGTATTTAGAGAATATTAAGGGTAGCTATTCATTTGTTCATCCATCCCTCCCTCCCTCCCTCCTATCCTTTCATTCATCCATCCATCCCATTTATCCATCCAACCATGTATCAATCAATCCGTCTATTCATCTATCCATCCATCCGTCTATTCATCTATCCATCCATCTTTCTGTCTGTCTGTCTATCCCTCTGTCCATTCATCCCATTCATCCATCTATCCTTCAAATTATTTATACCATATTTGTTGACGCATTAGAATGTCCTGTGAGATTTCTAACATAACATTCTTAACATCAAATCAAATTACTAAAAGATTCATGATTGCTTTCCCCCATCAGGTTTCTTGAAGAGATTCTTGAGAGTACCTTTACCCTGATAGATGCAAGTAGTATTGTCCATGTGTCTGACTCACCAGATGTCCAGTATATAACACCCTTGTACTACATAGCACTTATGGATCCTATGGCCAACTGGTTTAAAAAATGGATGGTAAGAATAATAAATGGTGGAATATAAATATTTTAATTTATCTTTTGGGTAATCAAAGTCAAGGCATGCACCTCAAAGATTGAAAGGCAATTAAGTAGGTTAAATGTAATTTTTTAAATGTAATTAATTTTATGAAGATTTATTTTACAAAGATCAAAGGGCAAAATTTATTTTGAAGAAGATTAATGGGAATTAAGCAAGATAAATGTAGTTGATTTTGATATTTTATTTATTTATTTTTAATGTAGTATACCTTATTTGCTATACTCCAAGCTACCTTTCTGAGCTCTTTCAGTATACACGTGAGGTTCATACTCTTACTAACCCTTTAGGCACTCCATACTAGTAGGATAATTCTGTACCGGTGCAAGGCACGAGAAGGAAGTTAATAAGGATTTCCCAATTTAATTCTCTTCATTTATACAGTAACGTTTCAAAATCATTCCCAAGTAAAGCTAGGGAAATAATAATGTTTTTTAATCATACTTCAACATCTTGTTTTAGCATGGTAACTACAGCAGGACTGAGGTTGTGAAACAGCTTAAAGAACACACAAACCTGGTGAGAAGGACAGATTTTATAGTTCCATTTTCTTATTCAGTGATTTACTCCCTTATCCATCCATCCATCCACCTGACTGTGTGTCTACCTATACATCCATCCATACATCCACCTGACTGTGTGTCTACCTATACATCCATCCATTTCTTCCACACTTCCATACTTCATTTTTTCCGTTCATCAATGTCTATCTTTTCATTCATCTATCCTTCTGTTTGTCCATCTTTCAATCCATCCATTTATCCATCAATCCATCAATCCATACTTCCGTCCTTTAATTTTTTCATCTGTCCATCAACGTCTGTCCTTCCATCCATCTGTACTTTTGTTCCTCAATCCATCCATCTATGCGTCAGTTCATCCATCCATACTTCCATATTATTCTATCCAGTCACATGTGCTCTCATCCATCCCACAACCCATCAACCCACCCATCAATTGCTCTTTCCCTTTGTTAAATTCTTCATTCATAAATCAATGTGCTTTTGCACCCAACCCATCTATCCACCCATTCTCTCATCCTTCCATTCATTCGTCCATGTGCCTGTGCACCCAACCTATCTATCCACCCATTCTCTCATCCTTCCA